CAATTCCACTAATATCAGGAACAAGACAAGGTTGTCTACTCTCTTCATAACTATTCATTATAGTGCTTGAAGTCATAGTTAGAGCAATAAGACAACAGGAGATCATGGGGATACAAACTGAAAAGGAAAAGGTCGAAGTATCTTTATTTGTAGATGATATGATAGTGTGTGTGTGTGTGTGTGTGTGTGTGTGTGTGTGTATGTGTGTGTGTGTGTGTGTGTGTGTGTGTGTGTGTGTGTGTGTGTGTGTGTATGTGTTGTGTCCCTAAAAATTCCATGGGGAGACTCCTACAGCTGATAAACACTTTCAGCAAAGTATGGATACAAAGTTAACTCAAAAAAATAAGTAGCCCTCCTATATACAAAGGGCAAATGGACTGAGAAAGAAACCAGTGAAACAGCACTTCTCACAATAACCTCTAAAAACATAAAATATAAAAAACATAAAATCTTGGTGTAGCTCTAACCAAGCAAATAAAGGCTTGTATAATAATAAAAAAAAAAACTTTAAGACACTGAAGAAATTGAAGATATCAGAATATGGAAAGATCTGCCATACTCAAGGATCAGTCGGATTAATATATTAAAAATGGCCATCCTACCACAAACAATCTACAGATTCAATGCAATCCCCATTTTGTTAATCACAGCCACCTCTTCAGCTCCAACTAACCAAACACCACAAATTCTTCACACAAATGCCCTGGCAGTCTCTGCTTTGCTCTGAACTTCTGAAGCCAGGCCTCCATTGTCTGCACTGCTCTCAGCACTCTTATCTTCCAAGCTCCAACAGAAGAGCCCAGTGTCTCAACACTCTCAATGACTTCTATCCCAAAGTTCCAAAGTCCGTCCATAATGCTCCCAAAACATGGCCAGGTCTGTCACAGCAATATCCCACTATCTTGGTACCAATTTCTATTCTAGTTAGGGTATACTATTCCTGTGATGAAACACCATAACCAAAAGCAACTTGGGAAGGAAGGGACTTACTTGGTTTATATTTCCACAACACAGTTCATCATGGAAAGAAGTAAGGACAAGCAGGACAGAAATCTGGAAGCAGGAGCTGATGCAGAGGCCATGGAGCAGTGCTGCTTACTGGCTTGTTCATCGTGGCTTTCTGGTTGTTGGTTTTTTTCCCCTTTATTTTATTTACAAACCATAGTTTCTCCTCCCTCCTCTTCCTCCAATTCTCTCCCCCCACCTCCCTTTTACCTCCCCGCCCCCCCCAATCCACTCCTCCCTTTCCATCAAATGGGGTAAGGTCTCTCTTGGGAATCAACAAAGCATGGCATATCAAGTTGAGGCAGGACCAAGCTCCTCCCCTCTGTATCAAGACTGAACAAGGCATCCCACTATATAAAATAGGTTCCAAAGACCAGCGACAGGTCCTGGTGCCACTGCTAGGAGCCCCACAAAAGACCAAGCTACATAACTGTCACCCACATGCAGAGGGCCTAGGTCGGTCCCATGCCGGCTCCCTAGCTGTCCATCCAGAGTCTGTTAGCTCCCACAAGCTCAAGTCATCAGCCTGCGTTCTTACAGAACCCAGGACCACCAGTCCAAGAGTGGCATGACCCACAACAGACTGGACCTTCCCCCTATCAATCACTAGTTAAGAAAATGTCCTACAGGTTTGTCTGCTTACACCCTGACTGTCTGGAGGTATTTTCTCCAAGTTCCATCCTCTCAAGATGACTATTGGTTATGTGGAGTTGACATAAAACTAGCTAGCATAGTTGGTTTTGGTTTTTCAGGACAAGGCTCACTTGGCTGGCCATGGACTCGCTATGTAGATGAGGATGAACTTGAATGCACAGAGGTTCACCTACTCTGTCTCTTGAGTGCTGGGATGAAAGATATATATCACCATGCCTAGCTGCTTCTTCAGTATGCTTTTGTGGTTTGTCAGCAAGTTGGGTGGCTGGTTTATTTGTATGTTTTCATTCTTTGTCTGGTTTTTTTTGTTTGTTTGTTTTGGTTTTGGTTTTTCAAGGCAGGGTTTCTCTGTGTAGTTTTGGTGCCTGTCCTGGAGCTCGCTCTGTAGACCAGGCTGGTCTCGAACTCATAGAGATCCACCTGGCTCTGCCTCCCGAGTGCAGGGATTAAAGGCATGCGCCACCACCACCCGGCTTCTTTGTCTTTTTTGATTTTGGTTGGTTGTATCTTTGTTTTTGCTTTTGTCTTTTTCTCTAACATTTTAGTAGTTTTATTTCTCCAGTTGTTACTTTTTATGTAATTATTGTAAATTTGTACGTTAGTTATTAACACAGCAAGTTTTAATCTCTATCTCACCTGAATTGTCCTTAATCAAGCAATTTTCTCTTTTCACATCTGTAATTGTCCTCCCTTACTGCCTCTCATACCTTCACCCACACACAGCTTCTCAAACACACTGGATGCCCTCTCTTCCTTTCCCCATTGATTCCGCACTTTGCTACCCAAATACTAACACATCCAGCTCTAAAAAAAAAACCAAATCGCACCTCTCTAACTAGTACCCCAAGCTGATGTCTCTGAATACAGCAAGTATAATGTAAAAGGATCTCCTATAGCTACACAAACCAAGGTCTGCCAATAAAAAGTACAACCACTGCAACTCCACATAAATAGCAGCAGGAAACAAAATCTAAGTGAATATAACCCTTTAGAAGGACTCACAGAAAACAAAACAACCAAAGAGAGATGAAAGAAGAGGAAGTTTAAAAATGTAACATAAATTCATTCCACCGAGGTGCAAAACACCACAAAAAGAATGTGGCACAACTACCCACCTTGGCCTATCCCCAACCTCCCTACTCCCTCCAACTGGAAGCCATATACATCATACATACATGAGCAAAATCACTTAAGACAGCCAATATTTCCAAGAAGTCTGGGATATATTCAAGAGTCCAGACCTAAGAATTCATGAGATAAAAGGAACAGAGATAAAGCAGAAGTTATAACGAAATTATAGAGAAAGATTCCCAAACCTAGAGAAAAAAGTACACATCAAAACACAGAAGAACTACAAACAGACAGGATCAGAAAAGAACTTTCCATGATATATCATAGTCAAGATGTCAAAAATACAAAGAAACAATGCAAAAAGTAGTATGAGAAAAACTGTCAAGTCACATACAAAAGCAGGAACACCACAACAACTAGACCTTATATTAGCAACCCTAAAAAGTCAGAAAATACGAAGTGAAATATTACAACCTCAGAAAGCAAATAACTATGAACCAAAAGCACTATAGCCAATAATGTTAGCGTTAAAAATTGAGCAAGATACACACAAATTAATGGACTTTGTGGCAACCAAGCCACAACAGAGAAAATTCTCCAAAGATTACTATACAGGGAAGAAAGAGAGTTTCATATATATATATAGTGAAATATGAGTCAGTCACAAAGAAGAATGAAGCCCTGTCATCTGTGGGAACATGGGTGAACCTTGACAACACCATACTGGGTAAAACCACCAGTCATGCATCATACCATATGATTAACTCCTGTGAAGCCTAAAAAAGTTTATCACAGAATTCGAGGTAAAATAATAATGAGCAAAGCCTGGAAGGGGATAGCAAAGAAAGGAAAGGAAAGAGGCCAATGAACAAAGTTAGAGTGAGAAGGAAGGAGTGAGTTCTCAGGCTTTGTCACACAGCACAGTGGCTCCAGTCAACAACAGCCAATCTTCCAATAGCTGGAAATCAAATCTGAATGTTCTCACCATGAAGAAACAATAGCTGCTTGAGGAAATGTTCTCAGTACAAAGAGATAATGAACACCTGAGATAGTGACACTAATTTCATCATTAAGCCAATGTATACATGCCCCAGAGAATCATAGGTACTCCATGAACATGTGCAAGTATTATGTCAATTAAAAATACAACTGAAAAATTGATCAAGATAAAATTACTGAAGTGAAAACAAAATATAACAGCAATTATAAACAATATAAAAGCTTTTGAAAGTTCATAAAGTAGAGAAACCTTGAGAGAAAAAGTATGCCTTCATCTGTGTATGTGTGTATGTGTGTATATGTAGGTGTGGATCTGTGTGTGGATCTGAGTAAGTATTATTAGAAACAAGAAAGAACACATTCAGGACAAGTTAACTGTTTAACAATTTATACTACTCACTTGGAGGAGAGAATCCCCTAGAGAAAAGGAGAAAGGAAGGCCAAATGTAAACAGAAAGTCTGAAGTCTCCACAGAAGAGTTTGAAGTGACCAGAGCAGGCTAGAGCAGATGGCTTTACCAATTCATTCCATCTAATTTTTATGGAGGATCTAATTCTATAGGTAACTAATTTAGGCCACAGAGAAATATTTCTTCAGTTATTCCTGTGAAGTCGGAATAACTTTAGTACCCAAACTTGCCAGGGAAAAAATATGGAAACCATGTGTATTACAGTTCAATATATTACACAAAATCCAAGTTCCAGATGAATACAAAATGTGAACAGTCAGGAAAGTTCACCCAAAAAACACAAACATGGTTCAATACTTCAAAACCTTTGATTACAACAAATTATATCAAATCTGAAGAACTAGGGAGATGGCTCAGAAGGTAAGGGCACTTCCCACCAAGACTGACAACCTGAGTTCGATTCCCAGAACCCACAAGCTGTATGTGTACACACACACACACACACACACACACACACACACACACACACACACACTGTCAAAAAAAGCTTTTAACATGAAAAATGAAGGATGAACCATGATATTAATAAATAAAGTGCCTTGCAAAAAGTTTAGTCATTACTAATAAGTAACTGTTTAAATAAAACATTTCTTAACAAAATCATTTATACATATGAAAAGAAATGACACATGTGAAATTTGCTCTATATACAAATGTAAGTATATGTACTTACAACATACACATAAATACCACTTAATTCATATTACTAGAGTATATGGTAAAAATATATATATATATGTGTGTGTGTGTATAGCAAGTAATTATACAATTGTAGTTATTCTTTGTTAAAGTATTAGTTTACCTGTTTGGGAAGTCGGAACAAGGAATTCTTATAGAAAATGTCCTTAGCCTGGCTCCATGTACCATCAATGAGGATGATTGTGGAAGGATAGACAGGAGAATCTAATATAAATTCTTCCAAATTAGTAGCTTCAGCCCCTGGATATAATATTAATGTACCAGAGTCCCGGCAAACAGTTGAAAGTTCAAAATCTCTAAAACAATAATTTTTAAGATATCTTTATTAGGTATGGGGAAAACAAAACTTTTATTACACTTAGTGAATGCCTAAGCAAAGCTGCCCTCTCAATGAATCTGTCTAATCAAATGGAAGCACCAGTTCAAAGGTCAATCAGAAGCCTCTGAATCTGGTAACTGGCATGCTGTCTCCTCAGCCACAGTTCTTCCACTTTCCTCTTCATTATTTCCTGCCAAGGCTTTCCTAGCCAATGGCCAGTGACGTCATTTTTACCCTCCCAAAGAAACCTCTATGCAGGAAAGAACTACTCCCAGCTGCCCGTCCGTCAGCTCACTCACCGCTCTTCACTGAAGCGGCGGCCAATCTTTACCGTGCACTTGTCAGGGGGGAGGCATGCCGCTAGCAGAGGGACTGTGCGCAACACTTTGCTTTCCTTTAACGAAAAAGGAAAACAGGGAGTTACTACCCAGGTGAACACTTTTAAAACTGTTTGGAACTGAGTGATAAATGCTCGCTCATCAGATACAGGGAACTGAGTGTCAGCATCAGCGCTGCAGAAAGAAAAACCCCTCTGAGAAACATTGACTTTATAACTATATATTTTACAAATCTTTTACTCAAGACCAGACTCTAAGAAGCAGTAACAGTTCTCTAATTTATCAGTATTAAGCATAACACAAGCATATTTTTTAAACTTATTTAGATATATTTACAGGCTAATGGTTAGAATTATAAATTATAGGGGGAAAATACTTTATACATATGTATGTAATCCCACAATGAAATCTACTGCTATGTATAATTAATAAATATCAGTAATAAACTAAATGAATTATAAATTATAAATGCACGTAAATTTGTGTTAAACTGAATAATTTATTCTGATAAGCTTTTTATTTCAAAGTAATTACATTTTGAACACATCAGCTTGCAGATGATAGCCTATATCTCAATACCAAAAAAGCAGCAACATGCGCCAAAAAGAAAACAAAGGCAGTCCAAACGACAGAGCCACAAGTTTACAGACTTACTAACGGCCAAGTGGAACAATTTAAGCAACAAAACAAATACTAGACTCTACTCCAAAATACACAAGTCTCCACAGTGTTACCTGCAAATTGCCAAATAACTAATGAGAGAAAGGAAAGTAGCTTTCTTACACAACTCTAATGGCCAGTGGAACTGCCCACTCCAGAAAGCTTACTCTCCCCTCCCATGGAAGTGGGCTGCACTTTCAGGATTCGGGAGACCCAAGCACAAAGCTGACCACCATCCGTGGATTTCTTCAGCATCCTAGCTTCCACTGCTAAGAACAAGTTTTCTTGTTACCACAGCTCTATTGTTAGTCCTACGGAGGCAAGCAGTTAACCACTGTGCCTTAGGTGGGGCTAGGGAAATTTTCCAGTGTTTCATAGATTAGTGTTTCCAGTGTTCTCCCTTCTTATTGTAGCTTGAGTTTTCCTGCCTGGCCCACAGTCAGGACAAATCTCTGTCACCCTCCAGTCCCGCAGCCTCTCAGACCCAACCAAGTAAACACAGAGACTTATATTGGTTACAAACTGTATGGCCGTGGCAGGCTTCTTGCTAACTGTTCTTACAGCTTAAATTAATCCATTTCCATTAATCTATACCTTGCCACGTGGCTTGTGGCTTACCGGTACTTTACATCTTTCTTGTCCTGATGGCAGCTGGCTGTGTCTCTGTCCTCCAGCTTCTTCCTGTTCTCTCAATTCTCCTCTCTCTTAGTCCCGCCTATACTTTCTGCCTGGCCACTGACCAATCAGTGATTTATTCATTGACCAATCAGCAACACATTTGACATACAGACCATCCCACAGCACCTTATCACTATGGAGACCTCTGCTTTCCAAACTTTTGTTAAGTAATACATTTATATATGTCAAATTAAATAGTCACAAAGATTTAAAATGCCATAACTTTCCCAGGTATACTCCCCAGTACCACTTCCAAGAAGCAATCACTTTAACTCTTAGCCTTTTCTAAGAATTATTTCCAAATTTCCTATAATGTGTGCTACAATTTTGATTTTTCAATTTTATATATATTACTTACAAACTACAAATGATCACCATCATAGCTAACAGTAACATAGACAATTCCAAGTGTGACATATAGATATAATGATATAAATACCCGTTTATTTTTCACAACAAATCAGTAAAGAAATGAAACTTTTTTATGTCAATAATACCAATGAGGAGACTGAAGCCCAGAGAGACGTATTAACCTGCAGGGTCACAGACTGTACATAGCCAGTAAGTATCTGAAACTCGGACAACCTTGCTCTAGAACCCTGATCCTTAACTTTACAAGTACAGCATCTCATAACAAGTTAACATTCTGAACTCTTACCTTGCAGCTAACTCTCATATCTGATAACGGCTATAGAAAACCAATAAACAGTGTATATATATATATATATATATATATATATATATATATATATATATATATCAGTATGGCTAAATATACACTGTTCACAAGGCCATGCAATTTAGTATAACACTTCTTCCTTTTAAAGCTTCTTTTTTTCTTATTTTTGAGATAACTTCTTGTTTTTAAACAACTGTCTCCATTCATGAACTTATTCTTTGAAATGTCCATCACATCACTTCCATGCAATCCTCTCTACCACATCTCTTTCTCCACATCTCCCTCCTGGAACCTATCCAAATATTTTCAACCTCATTTTTATGGGAGAACCATGAAATTGTCAAATCCATTTATGCAAAGTAGTGTGCTAAAGTTACACACACACAAGCAGCCCAGTATTAGTGAACTAAGTGAAGACCAGAAAGTTCCTTTACTGACAGGGAACATCAATTTGGATGTACTTGTGTATTCATAAAATATATCCATAGTGGATACAATTTTAAATAGGTCATCTAAATTGAGGATTAACTGTGATTAAAAAAAAATAAACAAAAAAACTGTAGGAGATTTCAAAATATAAAAATCACCACAAATAAATTTTTAAAACTACATTTTGAAGGCTGTCTAATACCCTAGAACAACATAACAATGGAAAAGTACCATATTTGCACTATAACATGGAAACTATATTCACCAAAATTCAGGTTTTAATCCTCTATGACCACAGCACTACTATTTTCTGTAAATGTAAGTTGTACAGTATTACAATTTTAACTGCAGTAAAATAATCCAGTGACAAAATTGCCAGAACCGTAAGAGCCTGCTGTCAAGTGTGGAAAAAGACCTGTCAACAAATAACTTGCAAAGAAATAGTATTCATCATTCAGAAAACAGTAAGGACTAATTTATTTTACATGTTTGTTGTATCTTTGAATAGACTATACAAAGTTTTTAAAAAGAGGTAAAAGATTTCTCACTTGGGTTACCACTGATTCCATTTACATCATGCACTGACTAGTTTTGTATTAACTAATTGTAATATCCTATGGTTTCCTTACATCCCCTCATCACAAATCAAAACTCACAAACACACATACACACTGGCACATGTCTAATCGTAAACAGAATAGAAGAGCATTAGCTAAAAAGTCTTACAGACGGCACAGTACACAGTAAAAGTGTTTGTTCTAGCCACCTAACAGAAAGAAAATTTTACTTGCATATCCATCTTGTAAGAGTAAAATGCCAAAGTCAGTATATACTCTAGCAAGAAAAGCTATCAGGAAGCCAAGACTATGACCAGCGCTTTAAAAGCAGTCATTTTTCTCAGCTCTTTATTCACAGAATTGCATCTTTTCATCATACAAATCTGTTGGAGTTCTAAATCTCTACCTTACAATAGAATGGTATGAAACATTGTATCAAGCATGTGACTCTCTACTATCATCTAATAGATAAAGCTTTCTTCCTTAAAAAGTAAATACTTATCAATAATGGTTTTTCTGAAACACTATGCAGCTATGAGGAATGAGCATGTTTACATGGGTGTTTTCTCTGCTGCACTAGACTCCACCTGAAGGCATATCACTTACAAACGTTAACTCACCTCTGCTGGATGCTGAATTATGTACAAATGGGTGGAGATTTGGAGTGGGTACACTGGTAGATATGGACACAAGCACACTTTCTGGGGCCGGCTAAAGAGTAAGAAAAGCAAAGAGAAGCAATGAATTTTTAAAATGTGATATAACAACATCCAAATACATCAACATCATGACATTTTTATATCTAAAGAGGTTTGGAAAAACTACATACTTTCAAAATGAAACCCATTAATGGAGCTAATGAGACATTTTAGACATGGAAATTATGAAAGAGATTTAAGTACATTTTCCCCATCCACAGAAATTCTGGGCTTGGCAGTACACTACGGTTCAGTGCTGCAGCACCTGCTTAACGCTTACAAGGCCACAGGTTTAATCCACTCCAAGACAAACTGGCTAATATTAAAGAATTTCAATAAATATTAGTTGTCTTTAATGGAAAAATAGTTACTGGGTCACTAGGGCCTTTTCATTCATGGAGCAATACTTCTTTCATTTAACATCAAGAACAGAAGTTATGACAAAAAAAATGGACCCAGAGGCATCAAAAAATACAGTCTCAGATCCTAAGAGCACAGGAAATAAATTTCAGGAGAGGAAAAATAAACAAAGGAAAGCTAGGAAGGCAAACAACTTGTCTATAACAATAAACCAGGAAACGGCTAATCTTAGCAGGTGAGAAAATAAAAAACAATCACCCAGCCAAGCAGAGACAAGAAACGGCAGGACTCAGTAAATAAATACCTCCCACTAACAACCTTACATGTCAATGGGTTCAAATCACAGGTAAAGAGATGTGGACTGGATGGCTGGATAAAAACTAGATCTAACCATCTCATCTCCAAAACACATACCCCACTGGAAAGACACCCACAGACCAAGAGGCAAAGATTAAAAACAATGTGTCAAAAAACAGAAACCAAAAACATGGCTGATATCTGGTAAAAGAAAACCCAAACCAAAATTAGCCAGTAGAGTTTAGGCCACCACATATTAGTAAGAGAAGTAATTAATTAAGAAGATACAGCAGCCGGGCAGTGGTGGCGCACGTCTTTAATCCCAGCACTCGGGAGGCAGAGCCAGGTGGATCTCTGTGAGTTCCAGGCCAGCCTGGTCTACAGAGCGAGATCCAGGACAGGCACCAAAACTACACAGAGAAACCCTGTCTCGAAGAAAAAACAAAAAAAGAAAATACAGCAATTGTAATTATATACATACTAATCACTGTGAGTCATAATTTCACTCTTCATAGACTTAGAACAAAAAAAATCCTAAAATTCACAGAACACCTCAAATAACCGCAACAGTTTTTTTAAATTTATGCACTTAATGTGTATGAGTGTTTTGCATGCAATGTATGTATGTGTCACACATGGTGCCTGCAGAGTTCAGAAGAGTGTTAGATCCTCTGGAACTGGAGTTACAGTTTTCAGTTGTCATGTGGGTTCTGGGAATTGAACCTGGGTCCTCCACAAGAACAGCTACTCTTAGCTGGGGGGGTGGGGGGTGGTGGTGGTGGTGGTGATGGTGGTGGTGGTGGTGCACACCTTTAATCCCAGAACTACGAAGGCAGAGGCGGGCAAATCTCAGTCTTGTCTACAGAGCAGTTCAAGACAGCAAGAAAAACCAAAGACCAAAAACAACAACAAAAAACAAACAAACAAAAGAACAAATGCTATTAACTGCTGAACCATCTCCAGTCCCAACCACAGCAATCTTAAACAGAAAAGGCAATATCAAAGATATCACAATTCTGGATCTCCAACTATATTACAAAGGCACAGTAACACAATCAGCATTGTTGCGGCGCATTTAAAAGAAATACACTGACCAAAAGAACAGAATACAGAACCCATAAATAAACTCACATGTCAACAGCCACCCAATCTTTGACAAAGAAGTCAGAAATATACATTGGAAAAAAAAAAAACAGCACTCTTCAACAAATAGGGCCACTAAAACAGGACACTGACATTTTAAGAATGAAAGCAAATCTGTTTCTTTGTTCCCATACAAAACAATTCAAAATACATCAAAGACCCTCATTAAACCTGAGAATGAAAGTGCTGGAGGAAAACAGAAGCATATGTAAGGGCCCTCTGAAAAGGACTCAAATAGCACAGGAAATGACCCAAGAGCTGACAGCTGACAACTGAGATTACATGAAATTAAAAAGCTTCTCAACAGCAAAGGAAATGATGAGCAGAGTAAACACTGAGACTACAGAACAAATCTTCGAGAACTAAACATGTGCCTGGGAATTAATATCTACAATCTATGAAGAACTGCAAAAATAGAAAACCAAATCATCCAATAAGCAAAAGGTCAAGATGAGGTGAATAAACAATTTCAAAGAAGAAATACAAAAACCAATTATCATTTGAGGCGTGTTTATGGCTATACTGGCAAGTGACACTGCCATGTGTCCCTGCAGTGAACAAGGGAAAAGCCCTCAGTACACATACAGGACTGATCACTGTCATATCTTACCTCTACTCATGTAATGTAACACAAGGGAAGAAACGCTTATGCTAAACTACAGAGTGTGGGCAAATGGGTTGAAATAGCTATTATAGCAACCAACTCTTTCTACTCCTGCTAAAGACATTATCTAGATCCCAGCTTCTCAAACTATGGGTCACAAACCAATGTGAGGTCAAGTATCTCAATGAGTGAGTCACAAAAAATCTGACAACAGCAAAGGGTTCTGATGGTACGATGACCAAAAAGCAACAAAATCAAACATGTAACAAGCCTGAGGTGTGTCTGACAGCACCTGCCCAAATATCATTGCATGTGTTTTCCCTGCAGCCTTGGTTCTGAACATATAATATGCATACTTTGCATGCACATGCTATTAAACCATGCAACACCAACAAACCTTTGCTCTTTAAAACATCCTGGCTCAATTTCAGACTACCATATGTTAGGAAATGCAGTGCTTTTACTGTACATATGAAGTTTGTTGTTCTTATTGAAACTTAATGATTTAATTACTGAAAACAGACAATACTTTATCATCATGCCTCAGCACTTAAAGTATTAATATTGTATTATAATGCTTGATTGCTGTGGGATGTTCGGTATGCTGTGAATGTGTTGCTCTGATTGGTTGATAAATAAGATGCTGATTGGCCAGTAGCCAGGCAGGAGGTATAGGCAGGATAAACAGACAAGGAGAATGCTGGGAAGTGGAAGGCTGAGTCAGGAGGAGGGGAGCAGCATGTAACTGCACACAGGTATAGCCAGGGAACACGTGGCAACATATAGATTAACAGAAATGGGCTGAGTTTAAGTGTAAGAGCTAGTCAGTAGTAGGCCTGAGCTAATGGCCAAGCAGTTTTAATTAATATAAGCTACTGAGTAATTATTTCATAAGCAGCTGTGGGGTCTGTGGGGCTGGACAAGACCGGAAAAAACTTCAGCTACACTTGATTTTTGTAAAAAGTGCTGTCTGAGCTGCTGGCTTGTATCTTATATAAAGATCACTAAACGAATTTCAGCAGGCAACATGGTGGCACGTGCCTTTAATTCTAGCACTGGGAGAATGAAAACAGGAAAATCAGGAGTTCAAGGTCAACCTCGGCTACATAGAAAGTTAAAGACTAGCCTGGGACACACGAGAACCTGTCTCAAATTTCAAAAAATAATAACTTTGTCAGGAGATTAGAACAGAATTTCCAACCATTTCCAAACATACTTTTGCCATTTTATACTATGTATTATTCATGCATATTTCACCTGATAATTATAAAATTAAAAGTATTTATCCACTCTGAAAATTACTAAAAATGCTGCATGTTCTACAGTATCAAATATTCAGCTAAGATTTAATTCTTTATGTAAAAGCAAACACTTCTATCTCATTAGTATATAAATTTGCTTTCATTTTAAGAAATAATAAGTTTGGATATATTCCAAAGAATTGTTTTAAAATAAAGTTCTTGATGATATGTTATCAGTAAATGTTTGATTTGTATAGCTATATTATATGTTCAAGGTGCATAAATTTTTCTTTAAGTAAAAAAGAGGAGTAACAAGGGGAGGTCTTTTAACGATTTATTTTTATTTTATGTATTTCTGACTATATGTATGTATGTACATCGTGTGTATGCAGTGCTCCCGGAAACCAGAAGGGGCCATTGGATTCCCTGGAGCTAGAACTACAAAGGTTACAATCTATCATGTGGGTTCTGGGAACTAAACCTGGAGAGATAGCAGGTGTTCTTAACCACCAACCTCTCTCTCCAACCCCAATAATGGGAAAGGGTTTAAGAAGCTCTGGTTTAGATGGTACCTGGTCAGGGATAAAAACACACCATCTTGGGCTGAAGAACTAGCTCAGCAATTAAGAGCACTTGTTGCTCTTGCAGAGGACCCAAGTTCAATTCCCAGCACCCATATGGCAACTCACAACCATCCATAACTAGAGTACCAAGGGATCTGATGCCCTCTTCCGGGCATGCAAGTGGAACACAGACATACATGAAGGCAAAACATAATACATAAAATACATAATTTTTTGTTTTGTTTTTTGTTTGTTTGTTTGTTTTGGTTTTTTGTTTTGTTTTGTTTTCTTGTTTTTGTTTTTATTTTTCGAGACAGGGTTTCTCTGTATAACAGCTCTCGCTGTCCTATAATTAATTTTTATAGACCAGACTGGACTCGAACTCACAGAGATTCGCCTGCCTCTGCCACCCAAGTCCTATGATTAAAAGCGTGTGCCACCACAGCCTGGCAAAACACATAAATCTTAAAACACACACACACACACACACACACACACACACACACACACACGCACACGCGCACGCGCACACGCACACGCACACACACACACACACACACACACACACACACGATCCCAGCCTCTTTCCCTCAATGAACCTTAAGTAGACTTAAGGAAAAACCAATGTACCCACTTTCTAGCTCCCTTTGAGATGATCTGGTATGACTGTCTTATCTCATGCTGAATGTCCTGTCATGACTATAAACAGATTTACAGGGGTGACAAGTCCTTTCATGCTCACTAGAATAAAGCACAGGAAGGGGCAAACAGGCATTAATGAATCTGAACATACCAACAAATGTAG